AGATGATCTATATTCATCGTCATAGTTCTGCATATATACAGAGAGAGTATGGTATACAAGGAAACCAGAATCAGAACGTTAGGGAAGCGTAATTACAGAGATACTAATTGAGAATAGGATATCTACTTTCCATAGTCTAATACACCCCCTCAAGATGGACCAACGGAGGAGAGGCCAATCTTGACCCGCAAGTTTTCATGTCGTGTTCTTGGGAGAGGTTTGGTTAGTGCATCTGCTAATTGATCATGGGTGGAGACATGAGACACTCTTACTTGGCCTGTTTGAACTTGATTCCGAACAAAATGATAATCGAGGGCGAGATGTTTCATTCTCGAGTGAAAGACAGGATTTGCAGCGAGGTAGGTGGCGCCTATATTGTCACAATAAATAGCCGGCATGTGCTGGAGTTCAAGTCCTAGTTCCGATAGTAGTGAAGTGATCCAGCAAATCTCTGCCGCCGTGGATGCAACAGAGCGATACTCTGCCTTAGTTGATGATCTCGCAACACCAGTTTGTTTCTTCGAAGACCACGCAATAGGATGACTCCCAAGGTAAACAATGTAGGCACCTGTGGAGGTGTAGTCATCTTTATTTCCAGCCCAGTCGGCGTCACTAAAGGCATGGAGGGTGGTCGTGTTCTTGTTGGGAAAGAATATCCCTTGAGAAATTGTCCCGACAAGATAGCGTAGGACTCTTCTCACCGCCATCCAATGCTCTGTTGTAGGCCTGTGCATAAATTGCGATAGCTTGTTGACTGCGAAAGATATGTCCGGTCGAGTGAGAGAGATATATTGAAGGCTTCCGACAGCTGCGCGGTACTCTGTTGCATCATCAAGAGCAGTTCCGGAGAGAAGCGAGAGAGTTGTGTTGGGACACATTGGAGTTGATATTGGTCGAGCGTTAGTCATCTTCATTCAGTGTAGAAGATCTGTAATGTATCTGTGTTGAGAGAGATGTTAGCCGTGAGCAGAACGTTTAACTTCAATGCCGAGAAAATAAGATAGATGATCCAAGTCTTTAATTAAAAAACGTTGAGAGAGAGAAGCGATAGACCGATTAATGTTGGTGTTACAGTTGCCAGTGATGATTATATCATCAACATAAACTAGCATGTAGATTAGGATCCCATTGTTGTTGTAGATGAAAAGAGAGGCATCGGCAAGTGAGTTCTTGAATCCGGATTGGAGTAGGAATTGACGGAGCTCATTGTACCATGCCCGTGGGGCTTGTTTGAGGCCATAAATTGCTTTACGGAGTTTGCAGACAGCTGTAGGATTGTCTTTATAAACAAAACCAGGGGGATGAGTCATAAACACTTCTTCTTTTAGGCGACCTTGAAGGAAGGCTGTTGTTACATCGAGTTGCCGTAGGGACCAGTCTTTTGTTGTTGCTGTGCTCAGAACAATGCGAATTGTAGCCGGTTTAACCACAGGACTAAACATGTCATGATAGCCAAGACCAGGTCTCTGATTATACCCTTTCGCGACTAGGCGTGCTTTGTAACGGTCTATGGATCCATCGGCTTTTCTTTTGATTGTGAATATCCACCTGCAACCAACAATATTAGAGGCATTAGATGCATCAGTGAGATTCCACGAATTATGTTTAAGTTGAGAATCTATCTCTTCACTCATGGCTTTTCGCCAATATGAGGATTTGAGGGCTTATGCGACAGAGGTTGGAGTTGTTGTTGGTGGTGTATCCACATGAGTGTGGAGATTAAGTTTGTTGACAGGTTTGGGAGGTCTTGTGCTGGCACGTGTTGGAGCCAATGGAGGCTTCTTCTGTCGTTTCTTTGGTGGTACTGCAGAGGTGGATTGATGTTGAGGATGTGAAGTCGATGCTGCAGTTTCTTGTTGTGGTAGTATTACAGGTTCTGGAGAAGCTGTAGGTTGATGAGGTGGCTCCGGTGTTTGTTGTGCAGGCTCAGGTTGTTGTTGTGGCATTACATGAGTTTGTTCTGTGGACGATTCAACTTGTGGAGTAGGTACCTGCAGGTGAGAAACAGAGCGAATAATAGTAACAGGGCGATGCAGAGATGTTGAAGTATCTATGTCATCTCCAGGCGTTAATGTAGGAGAAGGAGATTTAAAAGGGAGCACAGATTCATGAAATACAACATGTCTTGATGTGTAGATTCTCGATGTAGTTCTATCCAAACAGAAGTATGCGCTTTGGGTAACCGAATATCCTAGGAACACACATGGTGTAGAGCGATCATCAAGCTTATGAGATGCATATGGCTTAATCCAAGGGAAACATAAACACCCAAAAATGCGTAGCTTTTGATAGTTTGGAGCATGTCCATGTTATAAATGAAAAGGTGTTTGAAATTGCAGATGTTTTGTAGGCATTCTATTGATTAGATACACAGCTGTAGCAAATGCATATGTCCAATAGGTTTTAGGCATAAATGCATGCGAAAGGAGAGAAAGACCTGTTTCGACAATTTGTCGATGCCAACGCTCTGCGAGACCATTATGCTCAAGTGTATGAGGGGGGGCTCGTCATATGAGAAATACCATGAGAGGAAAGGAAAGCTGCAAGACCAACATATTCACCCTCATTATCTGAGTACAGTGTTCTAAGTTTTTGTTGAAAACGATTTCCAACCAAACTTTTGAATCTAGTAAACACTTGAAAGACCTGCGATTTGAGTTTCAAAGGATACAACCATGTGTATCTCGTGTAATGGTCAACGAAAATAACATAGTATTTAAAACCATCAACAGATACTATCGGCGAGGTCCAAACATCGGAGAAGACAATATCTAACGGATGAGCTGATGTTAATGTCGAAGTAGTAAATGGTAACTTATGCATTTTATTGATTGAACAAGCAGCGTAGGGTTTAGCTAGCAAAACATTTGAAACAAGAGGTAAATCAAATTGAGAAATAACTTTTTGTAAAATGGGTAAAGCCGGATGGCCTAAACGGGAATGCCAATCTGTAAGAGTAGTTTTGATAGCTGATGCAAAAGCAAGGGATGGAAGAGTTGAATTTGATACTTTCGGCCACTCATATGTGCCGTTTTTAGGCTTGCCTTCGAGACGAAGAACTCCCGTTTGTAAATCTCTCACCTGGAAGTATGTAGGTGTAAAAATCACAGCAGCATCATTAGATTTACATAATTGAAAAACAGAGATGAGATTTTTATCAAGAGAGGGAACACATAGAACGTTATTTAAGAGAAAAGGTCTAGTATAAGAAGGGAGAGAAGCAGAACCAGTGTGCGATATCTGCAAAGCAGATCCATCGCCTAGAAGTACATCGTCTCCTCCCGTGTATGGAGAGTGCAGAGAGAGATTGTGTAAGTCTGATGTCATATGGTGAGAGGCTCCCGTGTCGACTAGCCATGTGGACGGATCTGAGAGCATAGCAGCATTGGCGCGAGGGTGCCACTGTTGGTTGGATTGCCCCAGAGGCTGGTACTGGTTGGAGGACCATGGTGCATATTATCCTCCTCCTTTGACGATTCGAAAATCTGGACAGTACTTAGCGCTGTGGCCAAGGACTCCACATGCTTGGCAGCGACCTTGGTATGGTTTTGAATTGCGATTATTGTTGGAGTTGTTGTAGGAGTGACGTTGATGTTGATATCCGGATCGTGATTGAGGTGGACGAGGACCTTGTCGTTGACGTGTGTTAGTGACATTAGCAACAATCGGGCCAACTGCGGGGGCTTCAGTGCACAAAATCATTGCTTCTCTGTTTAGCAGGCGTTCATGAAGCTCGGTGAAGGAGATGGGATTGTCACGACCATTGATAGCATCAATTTCCGGTTTATACTCTTCTGTGAGGCCAGCAAGGATTTGTTCTGTAATGTCTTCTGGATCCATCGGTTTTCCCAATAAAGCAAGTTCATCCATCTTTGTCTTGATAAGGTGAAGATATTCACTTATAGTTTGTGTGCCTTTGACACACGTCTTGATATGGAACTTCAGCTGACGAATGTGTCCTCGAGTGGGATTGCCAAATGTGTTGGCAAGTGTATCCCAAACTTCTTTTGTCGTGTTTGCACTGGATACCACCGATTGGATCGGCAGTGAGATTGCTCCAATCATGGCACTGTATAGAAGGCGATCTTGACGGCGCCATGGTGTGTATGCAGGATTAAGAGAAGAGACACCTGCTGTAAGAATCGTTGGTAGTAGAGAATCATCAGATCCGTCAATGAACTGTTGAAGTTCATGACCCTCAAGCAAGGCACGTATTTGCCGTTCCCACATAATGTAGTTGAGATTGGTAAGTTTGGTAACACTTGACATGTTTACCATGAGAAGAGTGCTTTGAGGATTTTGTGGATTGAAGACAGAGGTTCGCTCTGCGGTTTCAGAGGCCATTGCAGTAGTTTCAATGGAAAGGAACAGAAAAAAACAGGGATTCTAACAAGGAGAATCGAGGAGGAAAAAGAAGAAGAAGAAGAAAAAAAAGAGAACAATTTAGGTTTTAGAACCTAGAATGGCTCTGATACCATATTAGATTAGGTAAAATGATGATCTATATTCATCGTCATAGTTCTGCATATATACAGAGAGAGTATGGTATACAAGGAAACCAGAATCAGAACGTTAGGGAATCGTAATTACAGAAATACTAATTGAGAATAGGATATTTACTTTCTATAGTTTAATACAACCCTGACACAACTATACAATAGGCCACTGGGAAACCTTCCTGCGGACTGGACCACAATCTGTGTTGGAGACAAACAGCCAGGAAACGGTTGGTGAACCTGCCTGCTTTTGCCGCCTATGCGGAATCCCTAGCCAAAGCATCTCAAGAGTAGAGAACAGGCAGGTGCACGTTCTCCAGAGGTATCTCACATCTTTTTCTATCATTACATTTATTTTGTTAACGACGTCTAACCCTAAAAGTATATCTCTGTGACCAGCATCACTTGCTCGAGAAGCACTGGGACGGAACTTCTGTAAACGAGTTTGATGAACCTCTCTTGTTTTGCCACCGTTGCGAATATCATAGCTACGATCGTCATAATATGATCATCCACTTTAACAGTGAAGAACATGCACGGAATGATAATCCTGCTTGTACACCATGCGAAGGTAAGTTTCAGTTTCTCTTGAATGCTTTATCTGACCGAATGTTCGATTGTGGTTAATAAGACTAATTAACTAACTGCGGTTTGATTTGTTTTCTTTTAGCTTTTAACAAGAGGCTTTACCCGCTGCCTAAAACCACTGTGGTGTTGTGGGACCTCAACACATGTCCAGTTCCGCCTGGTTATGACATTGCTTGTGTCCGTCCGAGCATCAAATCAGCGTTGAAGACGCTCGTTGGTAATCTTCCCGTCACCGTCTTTGCCATTGGCAACCTAGACGGGTTCTCTGGTCGAGCTTTAAAAGACATCTCTTCCTCTGGAATCCTTCTTATACACACCCCTTTCGGTTAGTCTTCTTATCTCTTTTTTACCGGTACTGGAATTTTTTTAGTTCAGTGTTTAGACTCAAGTGGCCGTATTTTCCAGATGATGGTTCGTTAGAAGTCTCTGATGTTTTGGACGAGTGGAGAAGGCGTGATCCATCTCGGAGAAAGCGTAATTACAACGTTTTCCTCATTTCGGGCAATGCTTCGTGGTGCAGTCACCTACTTCTCAGGCATGGGCACACAACTCTGCGAGCATTTCCAAATTGTAAGCCAGCCGAAACCTACGGCTCTTATAAAGAGTGGCAGTGGGAAGAATTACTGCAAGGTAATTTCACTCTCTCTCCCATTGACGTTGAAATAAACCGGCAAATCTATAACATGTATCTGAACTAGTTAGTTTTTTTGTTATTGTTGTCCACAGAGAATTTGTCGGAGGCAAACAGCCAGATACTTGAGGACAAGTGCATTGAAACGGGTGAACCTGCCTGGTTTTGCAGACTATGCGAAATTCCTAGCGAAAGCTTTGATGGTTTCATCGAGCATCTCAAGAGTAAAAGACACGGAGAGGAGGTAAGCATCCTTGCCTCGTTTGTGTCAATTACATTTTGTAAATTGTAAGAAAACATGTCGTACCATTATTTATAACCAATGAGTTTTGCAGCTGTGGGAGATCGTGCCACGAGACGACGATGATAAACCTATCTTCTTTTGCAAACTTTGCAACTATCCTGCCTACAAGCCCGCGAATATGACTCTTCACCTGAACAGTGAACAACATGCACATAACGTAAGCATCCCCTCAGTTTGTATATTTGTCATTGTAACAAAACATCTCGGTATCAAAATTTGACACCACGTTGTTTATTTTTTTTTTTTTTTTGGATGTGCGTTAGCTTGTCAAGCAGAAGCAGGACGAAGAAAAGGAAGACTTGAACAACGCGAAGAAGACTTGAAAAAGGCGATGAAGAAAGGGTGAACAAGACGAAGAAGAAAACTTAAATGAGTCTTTTGTATATAATTTTAGTTTAACAATTAATTTTTAATTTAAAAAAAACAATTATGAAAGAATACATGTTTTGAGAGTCTCTAATGAATTTTTTATAGTCTCGTTTTTCCGTTTTCTTTTTATTTATTTTAAGTTTTTTTTAAGAATAAAAGATTTATTAAGAGATTAGACCATCTACAATGGGTTTCTCTTATGAGAGACTCTTAATATAATAATATATTTATTTTTAATTAATTTACTAGATTTTGGATCTGGGCATTTGTGCGGGTTTCTTTTTATAAAATACTAGGTGATAATCCGCATCCTGTGCGGCGTGAAAAATTTATTATTTAAATTCGATGAATTAAATTAAAAAAATTATAAAGATGATATATTTGATAAGATTTTAATATATAAAAAATAAATTAACTTTAAAAGGTAAAAAAAATGTTGGAGATATGAACAATATAGTAATACCTATTTTGGAGATAATTAGATTAATTGATTTAAAGCCGAGAAACAAATGTATGTGTTTTGATAATTATTCATTTTTCTATTATTTATTTTAAAAATTAACAATTTAAAATATTCTCTAACCACTAATAAAATATAAAAAAACACAGATCAATTTTTCAGAGAATTTGATATATGATAAATCAAACATTGATTAAAAAAGACTCTTAAATAATATATATGTTTACCAAACACACTTATATAAACTCACTTATCATTTTAGATTGACTTAAGTCTCTTAAATAATATATATGTTTACTAAGATATATCATACTCGTTAAGTAACTGATATTAGTATACAATATATATGGTTTACTAAGTTAAGTAATTAATATTGGTAAACAATATATACGATTTATGTTTTAATAAAGTAGACAATTAAGTCATATTAACATATTAAAGTATCATTAATCCTAAATATTATTTTAGAAGCATGTTTACTAAAAAAATCCTATGTGTCAACACCTAATGAAAAGTTAGTGTAAAACAATGTCATGTCATAAATGTGACATGTCAAATTTCCTAAAATAAATAAAATATTTTAATTGGTTAAGTTAAAACTAAATAAATCTCATATTTAAATAAGAAAAAGTTTATATCATATGTGAATGAATTTTCATTATATAGCAAGAATTTGAAATTATAAATGAAACAAAAAATAATCAAAGAGAAAAACAATTAATAAATATCCTCTTAGCCAATTTTTATTATAATATTGTATATATGAATAAAAAGTAGAAGTAAAATTAAAAATGAATCTTTACGACTTTGGTTTTATATATAAATCTCAGGTTATATTTTTGATTTAAAGCATCTCAACTCACTTTTATTTTAAATGTTCTAATTTAAAAAAAAGAAAGGTTGTTACTTTTTTCAACTATAGAGGAAAAATAATAATCTTTTTTTTCCTGTAAAATAGAAATAAGTTGGAGAGAAGTCCACTTATATTTTAGAGAAAAAAAATAAAAAATACATTTGATATGATCTTAATGTTAAATATATTTTAAATGTTAAAAAAATATGAGTCAAAGAAGAGAAGAAAAAATAAGAACAGTTCTGATCGATTTTATGTTTTTATTTCAAATGCTTAAAAATATTATCTTACACATATTAATTATTTCATGCATATATTTTATCCAACATATTAAAATATTATTTCATGAATCAAACTTTTTGTATATGTTGTGATCCATTATATTTTGTATTAACAAATATATTAAAGTTAGGAACATATCAATTCTTAATTTTTAATATAACAATTAAATATTAAATATATTATTTTACACCTTAAATCATACATAAATAAGTTTAAATCTGATTGGCTAAAACGATTATGTTACAGAGAGTTTGTGGAAGCGAGCGATTGCGGATTATTAAAACTTTTGACGAAGAGATGAGCAGAGAGCTACTAGAGAATTTTATAAAATATGATTTCACAAATTTTATAATAAATATTTATTATATTTTATTGAGAAACCATATATTTTAAAATGCTGAAAATAAGAACTTTTGATTAAATACAAAACAATAGAAACGATTTATATGATTGTTGTTAAACGCCAATAATTGCATCGTATAAAAACATAACGTTTGCGGAAAATATAAAAAAAACTTACCAACACCTAAATATTACAATTCTTTTATTTCAAACTCATACCTATGCATATATATACTTATTATTTTTTTTAAAAAATCAACCATACGTTATAAAAATATGTATTACAAAACATATACTTTATTATTTTCTTTTAACACATAAAAGCTATACTTCGATTTTTTTTACAAATATGCGTGTAGATATAAATATTAATTGTGTAAAAGTCAAACTTGCATGCAAATTTTTCGTGCCTACATTTTGTTAACCTCGATTACACTCTAATTTTAATTTTAGTTGTTAGACAATTTTGTTAACCTCGATTACACACGAATGTGCGGACCAACCATCTACCCGCTCTTAGGATAAATAAATATGGTAAAATTCATTTTGGTTTAATTAGCAAGAGGCCAGGGAAAAAAATAATTAATATATATATATATATATATATATATATATATTGGTAAGATTATATTGTGTATGGAGAAAAAGAAAATATAGTATAGATAATATTCAAAAAATATTATAAAAATTTAATTATTTTTAATATAACTTTTATATTTGTAATTATTTGTCAATATAAACACTAAAAAAATAAAAACTTTTAAAAGACACAAAGAAATAGGAAACGTTTGTGTGATTGTTGTTGAACACTAAAACTGTATATATATATATATATATATATATATATATATATATAAACATAATGTTTACATAAAGTTAAGAAAATTAATCACTACTTAAATATTACAACTAATTATGTCTAAAAAAATTATACATGCACATGTTTGCGTGCCAAAAATAAAAATTAAACAAATAAGTATATATTTTCATGTTTTCTTATTTATTTAGTTATCATATTTACATTTTTGATCTAAGGAAATATGTTAAAATTTTAGTTAATATTTTTTATTTTCAATTTCTTTTGGAATCTTTAACATTTTATATTTTATTTTCATTTTTTATTATTACTAAATAATTAATTATATACAAATAAAATATTTTTAATACTATATTAATAATAATTAAACATATTAAATATTTATAGCCTGTACACAGTGCATGCCGATCATCTAGTTACTAATTTAAAAGCAATCAATATCCACCAAAAATCACAATCATAATATTATGATTTTCTTATATAGTTATTACGAATAGCTATAAATGAACTCTAATCATAATTTCGGAAATTTTTAGTTATAATTTTTTTATAATTCAAAAATAAAAAATATTTTTATGATTTTATGTATATAATTTTATGAATTTTTAAAATATATGGTCTGAAGTATTATTTATAGTAATAAATGAACTCATAACAATTTCGGATATTCTTATTTATGATTTTTTTATAATTCGAAAATAATAAATATTTTTAATCATATTATTTTTATATACTTTAATGAATTATAAAAAGATATTAATGAAAAATATATGGTATTGAAGTATTATATATGTGTTGGACAGGCATTTTTGTGTTTGCTATATATAATTACACCAATAGATGAAACAAAATCATTATGACTTATTTGAATTTGTTCTGATTGATTTTTGAAAAAATAATTTTTTAAATGATAGTTTTAATTTTAGTTATATGGTATAAGAATTATTATCCCCACTTTTATTTTATAATTTTTATGAATAATTAATAAACTGCTTTTCAGATGAAAGTAATAAAAATTAGTAAATTATTATATACATATTATGGATTTATAATTAACTATTTATAAATAATATTTAGAAAGTGTTCTTTGGATAAATATTTTGTTATTTTTTGGTCTATTAAATTATTAAAACATACACTATTAATTTTGAATTCATTTAAATGAAACATAACATTATTATGGACCTAAAATATATTATGATATATTATGTAATTATTTTATTAATCTATGTCTTTTTATAGAAAAATAGCTGAGCATGAATATGGAGTTGACACATCAGCATAATGACACCACTGTAAATACTTACAAAATAAAGTTATTCTTTAAAAATGCATCTCTTTTTATATGTAGGAGTTTTTTAGACCATAGCAAAAATCGGTTTATATTAAATTTTTGTTCAAAAAAATCAACTTATATTATTAAATCTAAAATTGTGGCCCAAACTGAAATTTTTTATTAGATTATATAAACTATTTTACATTTTTGGTTTATGTTCTAAAAATTATTTAGGTTTGATTTTATATAAAAAAAATATTTTGATTAGCGGATTCTCTGTTAAGTTTTGTAAGAAATATTTTAATATATTTTGTTTTATAAAGGAAGAAAGATTTCATTTGTTTGTACTTAAAAATTCAATGTTTACTTATGCTTTATTTATTTTTGCATCACGATACTTATTTGGATGCAAATCTCAAATATTATTTTTTAAAATATTTTTAAATCTGTATATGGATGTGCTATTTGGATACAAAATCTGTAATATCTCAAAATTTGTATATTTAAGATACTAAAAAGTAGAATTTGGATGCAGCATTTGAATATCAAAAATTAAAAGACTAAAACACTCATTAATTTGAACCACAAAATCAAGTTTTTTTTTTGTCAAAACCATAAAATCAAAGTTTTATATCAAAATAAAAAGCCGCATTTTCCCGCAAAATCATGTTGTTGTACCAAAATCGGGAATTCCTGTAGAAACTGTAAAAATAGTATTTTCCATCAAACCGTATTTCCTGCCAAAACTGTAAACCCACATTTTTTTTAACAAAACCAAAAATTATGTTTCTCCCAAACACCATAAAACCATATTCTATGACCAAAATTTTAAAATTACGTATTTTTGTCAAACCTGCAATATTGTGTTTCTCGTCAAACCCGCAAACCTGCATTTTCAATAAAATCCATAAAACAAAAATTTTCCATCAAAACCTATGAACCTGCCAAAACATGTAAACCTCGCTAAATTACGTTTCCCGTCAAATCCACAAACCCGTGTTTTTCCGTAAAATTGTAAAATCCGTAAAATCGTGTTTTACGACCAAATTTCTAAACTCATATGTTTCTGCCAAACCTGCAAAATTGAGTTTTCAAACGCACAAATCCACATTTTTCCATATGACTACATATTCCCGCTAAAATATGTAAATAAAATCCACAAAATTGTGTTATTTGCATTCTGCAAATCCGTGTTTTCCTGTAATTCCTCTAAATCTGCAAAATCGTGATTACAATCAAATTTCTAAAATTATGTGTTTCTTCTAAATCTACAAAAGCATATTTCTTGTCAAACCGATATTTTCTCGTAAAAATATATTTTTTGCTAAAACTTGTAAAACCCGTAAATCTACAAAATTGTGTTTATCAAATTTCCAAACCCATGATTTCCCGCAAAAAAAAACCATTAACAAATCAAGAAAAAAATTATTTACATAATATTTTTTTCATAGTATGTATATATGTAACAAGAAAAGAATGATTACATATTCATTGTTGACTATATACTGTCACATTTAGTACATATCATAGTAGCAACAACAAATCCAACAACAACAAAGGTCAAACAATCATACTTACTCTGTTAGATACCAAAAATATTCTGTTTTATCTCTAGTCATGCTTATTTGTTCCAAAAGACCGTTTTGAGCAGACGAACCAGCGTCATATGAAGAAGGGTTTGCTTCGTTGTATGATTGCTAGTAGGAACCATCTTCATAAGTATGGTGGGTGAACGGATCTATATCAAGTCACACATGCCAAAAATGAAGAAATACATATATAGGTCAATAAACAAAGTAAGGTTTTTAATATAAGGTTTTAGTTTATTAACCTTCGCAGTGTTGTAATACTGGGTTTTGCAGTCGGGTAAAATACTGACAGACCAAGTTGCAAATCATATGGAAATCTCCTAAACATAATCCTTGCTGCATAACTCGTTTTGCAGTTCGAAAGAAACGCAGCGCAAGAAGACTTGAACTTAAACACATGAGCCTGAAATTATAACAATATCATAAATATATGAATGAATCTTTCATGGTTCTTCTCTTGAATGTTGTTACATTGTTACATCGAAGAGAGAGAGAGAGAGAGAGATTGTAAATAGTTAATTACCATATTCATCTAAGAGGAGCATCGTAGTCATAGCTTGTGGCGATGAACACACCAGCTGTTCGATCACTTCAGACCACTTCTTCTGATGAAGCTGCGATACAACCCAAATCCATAGATGAGCAACCAAGATAACGAAAGAGAGACTGCAGAGAAAGGGAGGATAGCAAATCAAATCACCTGTCTGAAGCGTCACCGCAAACACTGCAAATAAATCGCACAAAGCTTCTCCTGAATCAGAATCATTGGGGTCTAGCAACACTACTCTCTGGTAACACTTTGCAGCTCGATTGTGATCGAGCATCACACGCGAGTAGTAATGTAGAGAAGGGTCGTTTGGGTTCTCCTTCACGGACTTCTCCAGATGCTCCATATTCACCGTCGTCTTCCTATTTGTCTTCCTCTGATTACTAATCCATAGATAAATTCAAGTTATAAATCCCAGAAAACCAATACAAATCAAGGACCTATACACTAAACAGAGATCTAGAATCAGATGCTTAGATCATGTACACGATAAAAGAAGATGAAATCGAAATCAGAAGAGAAGATAAACAATAGAAAGCGAGAGAGAAGATGATTTCATGTACAAAAGAAGAGAAGATGAAATCGAAATCAGAAGAGAAGATGAACAATAGAAAGCGAGAGAGAAGATGACATCGAAATCAGACCTTGGGAAGGTCCTTGAAGACAATGTGAGAAAAAGAAGCTTCGGCGTCACTGGAGTCGTGGTGCTCTTCGTCGGAGAAGAAGAACAGAAAACCGAAGATAGATCGATAGAAACGAGAAAATTAATTTTTATTTTTCAACCAAAATTTTTTTTTTCAACAAATAAAATATATGCTACATTAGAGTAGTCTCTACAGATTCTCATACAAGAGATTCTCAAATAATTTTGTGCCATCTCATTTTTTTTTTGTTTTTTCTTTGAGTTACTAGTGTGAATACAAAATCTGATAGTATATAAGTTATTGAATGCTCTAGAAAAGTAGATATATTTGCCTATGAAAATGCAATCATTAATGCATTATACTGTATTTCCCAAACTCAAAAGTTTAAAAAGTCAAAAATAAAAGACATGATCCAAGTTGTATATATATTATTGATTTTAGATTGTGATCCAATTTAAGATAGATGATCATAGTTATCGATAATTATAATTGTTTTAACTCTATAATCCATCCAGATCAAACTCGCATATCTCTATAAGTAATCTGGACCTAAATAATAAGTTTTGGATATAATGGATCTGTAGATGAATACTCTAAAACTACAAATAGTTAAAATAGGTGAAACAGAAATCATTATTTTGCAATATTATATTTGGAGGTTAGCTTATAGTAGCCTAAACCCTGGGCTAAAGCCCGTAAAGTAATATATACCCTAAACCCTGGGCTAAAGCCCGTAAAGCACTAGCTTAAGGCACCAAATTATTTATATACATTTTAGGGGCATCAAATGACGAAAAGATGCTTGTGGTATAGTGGTTTGTGGAGCTACATTTATAATGTCATTGGCACGATGTCCAGATCTGAACTCTTTTCCTCTGCTTTAGGAGGCCTAGTATATTGGGCCGGCACTGACAACTTATATCCCGTAGTATGGGATTGTTCCACGTCGAAAGGAATGTACTACAAGTAATAAACAGAAATCACTTTGGATACTACGGCATATACCAAGAAAGTAAAATTTTCATGCAAAACATCTGTTGAACTTGAAAAGATTTATAGTAAAACTATAGAGTAAGGAAAAAGCAAACATCCATGACAACACAATGTTAGAATAAAAAGAGAAAATGATGAGAAAGTTGAGAGAGATCATGAAATGAATGTGATATATCAGAAAAGATGGCGACATGTCCCGAAACTTTCATCTTTCTAGTTTTATATTCCAACATTACTATTGCGATGATATCCCTTTTCTTCTTGCTTCTTGCTGACTTGAGAGTCTTTTTCATTGCCATTATTATAACACATGAGAGTCTTTGTTATCACATGGAGGATGACGGAGGAGAGAGAGTGATTGCATTCATTTCACGATGACCGCACCTCCAACTAACCGATGACTCTTTCCATTATCGCGGGCGCAAAGACTCTTATTTTCTAGATCACCATACATACAAAATCTCCATTATCTTCATATTACAAAATATGAGAATTATCCCTAAAAGAGAAAAGAAAAATGAGCTCGTTGCAATCGATCTTCCAATTTTATAAATAGAAGATTTTGGACAGTTTGAAAGATAACTCGAAATCATTAGAGAGCAGAAAAACAAAGACCTAAAGGTTTAAGCTTTCTAATTTATTATTTTAAATATTTTCTTTCACTTCGGCAAGACCTCTAACCTCTAGGTCACACCACCTTTGTAATCATTTACGCCTTTGAAATTTTAATAAAGATCTATTCTCCGAAACCCACAATCGCTAAATACTTATCTATACATGTGATTTTCTGGTTCAACAATTGGCATTGTCTGTGGGGACTAGGAGAATGAACTCTTGAAAAAGCAATACAAGGCTAGAAGCGATAAGTCTTCCTAAACACAACGATCAAAACCTTGTCAACCAGGAGAGCACAGCTCGTGAAGTGCCCAAAAATCCAGCCCTCGACGAACATGGTAACCTCATCATCACTAATTCCACGATTTCACCACCCATAGGAGCACCAACGACTCCCATCCTCCGATCTCGCCGCGGCAATTCAAGCCGCCCTATTGCCACTTACTCAGAACCTGATGTCCAAGCTGGACAACGTACAAGCTCAATAAGCTAAGTACAACGAACAACTCAGCAGTTTGGTAGCCGCGACTACCACACGATCAGCACCACTCGGGCGACGACTTTTTGCAACACCCACTCACACCAAGATAAGGGCTGCAACAGAGATCACATGCAACGACGGTAGTGATAAATCTCTAGATGAGTTAGAATCCAAAGTCGTGAAACTCCACCAGAGAATCGATGCTATCGGATCGCAGGTGCATCGCGTCACTAGTTCAGCACCCAAAATTGCCACGATACTATCTGACATTGAGTGGAGTCCTTTCGCCCAGATAATCATAGACGTGCACCTCAGCGCCACAATAAAGCTCAAGTTACCATACTATAATGGCACGGAAGAGCCTGAGCTCTGGCTCACTAGTTTTAACGTCGCCATGAAGAGACAACTCTTTGAATCCGAACTCGAATGTGAAGCAAACCATTGTCAAGTCGTTCGCCGAGCACCTTAGAAAGATGCACTCAAGTGGTTCTCCAACCTCCCGCCCGGATCAATAAAGAGTTTCAAATATCGATCTACCGCCTTTATGAAACATTATTCGATGTTCATCACAAAAAAGACCGTCAACCTATTCACCTTAACCCAAAAACGCGATCAGCCCCTTCGCGATTACATCGAGTTCAAAGACGCCACCACGACTTACGGCCAGATACCGCAAAAGCTAACATTGGAAGTACTAATCAACAGACTATGGTATGAATCCACATTCAAAGACGGTCTGCAGAAAATCCCTCTAGAAACCCTAGAAGACGCACTTCACCGGGCTCAAACCTTCATCCGGATGGAGGAAATAAGAACTTTTTATGCTAGAAAGCATGGCATTGAGGAAGCAAGCACCTCGAAGAGCAAGAATCATGGAACTCCCACAGGCAAAGGCAGGCCGTCCTCACACGCTATTATGAAAACAGGAGAGAAGCCCTGGAATCAATGGAACCAAGGCGATACCCTAAGCACCTCGACTAAGGGAGGCATTAATCACGACCTCTTCTGTTCCTTCCATGGCGGAACCGGGCACGCCACCTTGGCTTGTTGACATTTCCAAAACTCTTTACTCAAGAAATATAAGGGAGCAGGAGTAAAGATTGACGGAGACCAGTCCCAAAGTAAGACCATCTACACATGGAATAACGCTAACAAAGATGAGCATCGAAGTACCTTTAACAGTGATTGCCGAGATCGGAGCAAGGATAGTCACCGAGGTAGTTCAGGAGGACGACGCCGAAGTCGAACACCCACTAAAAAGCGAGAAGACAAGGATGAGCGACACGTCCAGAGCACAACAGCGAAGACCACGATCAAGATAACCCACCCCTACCACCCAAATGACGGATCAACATGATCATGGGAGGCTTACCCAACTGCAATCATTCTGTCCGCGCTATCAACGAGTATGGAAAAAAGCAGTCGCCTCGAGAAAGTTCCCCCGCTCTATGGACTACCAACTAACGATCACCTTCACCACAAAAGACATGCATGGTTTTCACACCATGCATATAACGATCCTCTGGTCATCGAACTCCATATCCACGAGAGTGAAGTCTCGAAAATCCTGATTTACACCGGTAGCACGGTTAACATTATCTTCAAAGATACGTTAACCAAGATGGGACTCCGTGGTAAGGACATCAAAGCAGCACCTAAGCCACTCACTGGATTCGCTAATGAATCTTTCTTCAGCATTGGAACCATAAAATTGACAGTTAACATCGGCGGCATAACCAAGATCGTCAAGTTTGCCGTCTTGAACAAACCTGTAATCCACAATGCCATTCTTGACATACTTTGGATTCATGAGATGAAAGCCATCGTGTCAACTTACCATCAATGCGTGAAGTTCACTACTTCCTCCAACATCTTTTCACTTCGCGGGAACCAGCATATGGCACGATCATGCTTCATCAGCAAACGTAAATTACGGCTCACTTCGGCGATAACTTCCATCGCTACCAAGCAATCACATTAGATCGGCAGAGAATCTAGCAGCTTCTATTTTTAGTTTCAAAAATATATATATTTATAGCACGATAGCCGAGCTAAAACCCGTCTAGTAATTGTAAAGAACTATGAATGGCTTGATCCCGATTTGGGTACGTAGGCAGCCTCCGGGTTCATGCATTGATGTTAGGTTGACACGATAACTTTCATCTCGTGGATCCATGGAGTGCTGAGAATGGCATTATAGATTGCAGATTTATCAATGACAGTGAAGTTGACAATCTTGGTTATGCCGCCGACGCAAACTGTCAATCTTATTGTGCTAATGCTGAAGAAAGATTTGCTGGCGAACCCGATGAGTGGCTTAGGTGCTGCTTTGATGTCCTTGTCGCGGAGTCCCATTTTGGTTAGCGTATCTTTGAAGATAACGTTAACCGTACTGCCGGTATCAATCAAGATCTTTGCGACTTTACTTTCGTGAATATGGAGCTCGACGACCAGCAGGTCATTATGCGAAGTGTGAAGGCCGCACATATCTTTTGCAGTGAAGGTGATTGTCGGCTGGTAATCCATAGTCCGGGGAAACTTTCGCGAGGTGACAGCCTTTCTTTTGTACTCCTTGATAGCACGAACCGAATCATCGCAACCAAGTAGGCCTCCCATGATCATGTTGATTCATCTTTTGGGAGGTGGAGGTCGGTTATCTTAGTCGCGGTCCTCGTTTTCATGCTCTGGGCATGCTTTTTTGTCTTTATTTTTTTGTCAGGTGATCGACTTCGGCGTCGTCCTCGTGAACTGCCTCAGCTACTATCCTTGTTTCAATCTCGGCGGTCACTACTCGAAGTGCTTCGACGCCCCTCTTTGTTTGTATTTCTTATGTGGGAGTTCTTGCTACAGGATCGCTCTTCGTCGACCTTTATCCCTCCTCCTTTGTATTTTTTCATATAAAGAGTTTTGGAGGTGTCGACAGGCCGAAGTACCATGCCCTGTTTGGCCATGGAAAGCGCAGGATAGGTCATGATTATCGTCTCTCTCATCCGAGGTTCTTGGGGGATCGCCTCGGTTCCACTGATTCCAAGGCTTCTCTCCTGCTTTTATGATGGCGTGTGAGGACGACCTGCCTTTATTCGCGGGGTTTCCCAGATCCTTCCTTTTCGAAGTGCTTGCTTCTTCCAAGCCATGCTTGTTAGCATAGAGGACTCTGTCTTCCTCCATTCAGATGAAGGTCTGAGCTCGATGAAGTGCATCTTTGATGGTTTCTTTTGGCTTTTTCAGCAGATCACCTTTGAACGTGGATTCGTACCTTAGTCTGTTGATGAGCGCCTTCAGTGCTAATATCTGTGGTATCTGGCCGTACGCTGCGATGACATCTTTGAATTTTTCGATGTAGTAAATAGATTGACGGTCTTCTTGGTGATAAACATTAAGTAATATTTCATGAAGGCGCTGGATCTTTAAAATTATTGATCGATCCCGGCGGGAGGTTGGAGAACCACTTGAGAGCATTCTTGCTGAGATGTTTGACGAAATCTGCAACTTGAAGTTTGCTAGGCCACTTGGGGGAAAACGGCTAA